GCAGCGTCGTTGCAGTCCTGCCCTTCCCCAGCTCAGTCTCAGTGCAGCAAAAGCCCTCCAGACCATATTCATAAAAGCTGAGGTAGTGACTGCCAAACGCCTCCCACCCGATTTGACAGCACCTTCTTCCGGTACTGACGCAACTCCAGTCTTTACCACAACAGGCAGGAATGACACTAGGCAGAAGAAATAGAAAAGAAAAAAAGGATAGAGGGGAAATGTTGGCCCTTATCTTGAGGGCAGAAATACGTATTTCTTTTCTCCTTAACCCTGCCTGATTTACCACAAAAACCCTTTAAGAAAGCAAACAAAATCTGGCTTTGCCCTGCCGCTGCCTTTCTGGGGCTCTCCTGCTCAAAGAGGCTGGCTTAGGTGAGTTGTATGCTCCCTGCAGGACGTCTGCTCCTTCCCACGTGCTTGCAGAGCAGCCTGGGTGCTCTGAGCAATACATAAATGGTAATATTTCATCTCACTTAATTGTCATGAAACACTCCTATTGAAGCAGTGCCTCACGGAGTAAGCTCCACAAGAAGAGAGGTGGTGTGTGTATCTGTGAGCAGTCAGATATGTTCACGATGAGAGGATGCCTCTAGGATACAGAAAAATTTAATTTGACAGCAGCACCACAACCACTTACATTCAGCAGTTTGCAGGAAAGATCTCACCTGAGAGAATTCTTTCAAACGGGGCATCAAAATCCCATGTATACAAAGAGAAATTTAGTCTCAGTCATTTGAAATGGAGCCTAGAGAATGGCCTTACTCCGTGTATCTCGTTTGGGGACTCGTATTGGGGTAGATTTACCTAAGCTAATGCTGGATTTCAACCGAGCAGTTGCCTACCAGGTAATTAGTCAGCCTGGGCTCTTCACAGTCAGTGGAGAGGAAAAAGCACTTCTAGAGCACAGTTCAACTGTCCTATTTTAAGCACAACTAGGGGAAAAAGGAATGATGCCTTACAAGCGCTCTCTCTCTCCCTCAGGAGCCCCGGTCACCAGCTCAGACACAGGCATCGGCACTGTAGGTATCTGCATTTAATCAGATTCACCTTGAAGTTTTGCTATAAGCAATGCAAATTCCAAGTGACTTTATTACCTGAGCAGTAAAGGACAAGGAATACAGACACGTCATAAGGCTGGAGAAGAAGAGAATGTGGCCAGTAGTCAGTATTTCCATTAGCCCAAACAAAACTGGCACCAGCAGAACAGTTTACCCTCCATAGCGGACTGGGGGAAAACCCCAGAACACGTCAGTGAGACATTAATCCTAGGACCTCTGCCCAGCCTGAAACACAGGACTGCGAAAATACTGGGCAAATCCAGGACAGAGGATGAAATCTTCCTCCTGGCAGGTAAGTCAGCCAAGAGGCCGGGAATGAATCTATGGCAAGGCAAGGGGAGCTGAAGGACTCAGCCTTCGGCCGCACCACCAGACAGCCCGGGATACAGGATGCTCAGGCAGCATGCACTCCATGCTACCCCACACAGCACCCACTGCCTGCAGCAGGGGACTGGATTTGGCCTTCAGCACCTTCCTTCCATCACCGGAGCAAGCACCCAATTTTGTGTGTAATGCAAAAGTCCCAAATCCAGCCTGAGACAACCTCACCAGCCCCAAAGGGCCAGTCCTGCAGGCTTTCCTGTGTGTGCTGGCCAGAGGCCCTCAGCAACTCTGAATGTGATGACTGATTTCTTGTTTTAAGTGTCCTGGTCCCCAGCCTGAGGCAGCTGATGCCCATCACTCAACAGCTAATATCTTCATGACAGAAATAGCAATAAATAAAATGATGTAAGCACTGGAATACATGATGAGTTATGCTCGTGCAGTTGTGAAATTAAGAGCCCACTCATGAGTGTGCTGTAAAACTCTGAAATCAATGCCATTGGCAACATACACTAATGAGGCTGCCAGAGAGTCAGTTTGGGTCAACATGCATTCTCACGACACAGAACTGGCATGCAGATAAGGACAGCATTGGCTTCCTACTGCAAGGAGCCTCCTCCCTAGGATACCAGTAAGCAGTAACGGGTACTCCTTCTTCAGATTTAGTGGTTATACAGACATATTAACGTGCTTGAGATCAGTTCTTTCAACTTCCAAGGTGCAAATGATGAGGTAGCCATCACCCTGTGAGCAAAGTGTGGGAAGGACCCATTGCATATATCGCGGCACAGCAGGGAGTTATCCAGGGTGTTAGGAGAGCTCCTCTTTAGCGGGAAGTCGGTTACCAGCTGCTCACAGGGGTTAGCACTCCCACAGCTGGGTGACCCTCCTCCCTTACAAGGACAGGCTGATCAGCTTGGCCTGAACAGGACAAGGCTGAAGGACATCGGGCTCAGCGAGCTCCCAGCACAAAGAAACTGCGGCACAGCAGGCTCTGCTGGGGTGCGGGGGAAGGGGAATGCTCAGACAACCCTTCTCTGCGCATTTCCCAACAGACAGGAGGCACATCACCCAGGCCAAACTCGGCAACAGGCTCACGCGCCAGCCTCTTCAAGCTCAGGGTTTTTTTCAGGTCAAAATCGAGAGTGCTGTGTTGAGCTAGACGCAGAGAGAAGGCTGCATGGCTACGCACCTCTGCACACACTACTGCAGCCTGGCTTGTGGACAGTCACAGATAAATTTTACCTGATTCATCAACAGACAGAATAAAGAGCTTTAGAAGGAAGAGACCAGATCTGCTCCATAGTTCATCTAGCCCAGCATGTTGTAGAGGCCACCCATGAACACAAGATGCTTCCAAAGACATTGCTAGGTATCTTGTATCAGGTAGATAAGGAATAACCTGCTCTAAATATTGGATTTCCTTCCCTGGAATTATTGGGCTCCAAAGGCTGGGGTTTGAACATAGAAGCCATTTCCTGAATGCTTCCCAACATCCTTGGTTTTGTGTATTTCCTCTTGAAGCACTGTAAACTTTTCACCCCAATACAACCGTGACTGTATTTCTGTAGATTATTTACAGACTATAAGCCATGAAAATCAGGTCTGGACTGCCAGCAGTTCGTGGTTAAGACCCCAGATCCACCAAGGTGAGCGGGTCCCTCTCTCAGACATGGAAGAAGACACCATAATCACACTACCTAATGGTGATATTGCTACCACCCTCTGTTCCTCATACGATAAGGATTTCCTCGCACGTGCAGAGGTACAGTGCCCAGCACAGGACAGCCACCATTCAGAGAGCCATGAGGGGCTGACTTACCGAAATGCTTTGTTCATCATCTCGTAGTGAAAGTGCTGAGGAGCCAGTCCTATCACCACCGCATTCGGGTCATCAGTGGCTATCCCTGTAAAAACCCAACCATGACTCTGAGTGAACAGACTTAGCAGTAGAGTCTCAATACGTGCGATGGCTGACTTCACAGCAAAACCGACACGTTGCACAGACTAGTCTTATGTCTTCTAGAAATGAGGAATGCAGCTCTGGAAAAGGTGTTGGTCTATCCAGGCTCTGTCATCCTTCACAGTGAACCCAACCCTGCAGCTGGACAGCCTCAACAGTGACTGCTGGATGGTGATTCTCTCACTGCCTGCACCGAAACGCAGCAGACCACACAGATCACTTCTTTGTTAACTGAATGACCTCCTTTACCCAAGAATCTATTTCTACATATATTCATAAGACAGTAACGGAGGAAGACTAATGAATTCCCTCCAGTTTTTCTATTCCGTTTAGTCACGGAAAACTCCACTTAGGGTAAAACGCCTGACTGCTGTTCTACATATCAGTCTAGTTATGATGGCAAAGACGGTATTGCAGCATGACCTATAAACTGTCACACCAGATTAGTTTTGGCTCTTCTTGAACGTCTTTTTTTTTTTTTTAATCTGGATTAGTCCCCTGGAGAACAGCTTGCACCTCCTCTGTCCTGCACTCCTCCAAGGTGCATGACTTTTTACATGGCAGTGCCACCTCTGAACAGGACAACAATGGAAGCAGAGTAGCATCTAGGGGAGAAACAGGAGCACCAGAGGGTTTTATTTAGGACAGGTTAAGTATCCTGCACTTGATGGGGTTTTTGTTCTGCCTTCACACAGCATATCCCCTGCACCTTTACTGGGACAACTAGAACTCCTGGGTCTCCTGCAAGTGTCAAGGACCCATCAGGCTGACGTCTCCTGCCCCACATCCTGCAGTTAGCTCCTTCAGAGAGCAAAATGTGGATGCCATGTGGATTTGTGACACCATCCAAGTGCATCACAGTCATTCAACGGAGAACGGATTACATTCATCCATCTGTGACCAACTTTATAGAGAGATTATCCAAGAACAGTTCAATAGCAGCCATTAACAGGAATTTAAAGCATTCTCCATTGTACTTAAATGTTTCAAGAGCAGCACTGAGAGAATGCGAGCCAAACTGCTTGCAGCAAAAAGAAACAAAGCAATCCATGCCAGATCCAAGCAACACAGATAATGCCACTGATGTACTCCACTGATACCCCTCTCTTTGCCATCTTTCACAAAATTAGCATCAGCTTCTGTAAAACTGATGGAAAGATCCCAAATACATGGAGATTAAACTATTTAACCACCTTCAGTTAAATAGCTGCTGCCTCTGCTGTTTCTGACCAAGAAAACCTTCCCCAGAACACAAACACAGGATATTGCTGGGGGCATGTTTCTCTGGATATGATGTTAGGTAGAAACAGATTATCAGGTTTCATTGCTCTCAGAGCCCACAGAGGCTTTTCTCCTGAGCACTTATCTTTCTGAAGATTACTGACTAGACTATAGCACTAAAATTTAACAGAAAATGTCTAGCTCCTAGCAAGATTAGAACCTACTTAAATTACACAGCCATAAGGATTTCAGTTCACAAGGCAAGGGGCAGGGAGCAGTGGGAAGCCATCTGCACTTTCGCTACCTTGACTTTAAATGAAAGACTATATATAACATAGTATATTCGATACGATATACAGTTTTGATCTCTGAGTGTGTTAAAAACGTGGGTATCTTCACTACTCTTTAAAAAAACGATGTGGGTAAGTCAAGGTCTAACTGTCCCAGCTTCAGGCACCTGCCAGACATGTCCAAGTTAGAATATATGATCTCCTACTCCCCTTGTGGTTGAGGGAAGGAAATGGGAACATCTGAAATTAAGTTTTTAGAGGTGACAATCTAGAGAAGTCAGGGCTATGAACCTTCTGTCACCAAGGAAGGTATCAAAGTACATGGAGTGAGACCTAGACATTCAATACAGGGTAAGTAACAATACCTACCTAGAGATATTACATTTAATAATAATCTATAAAGAGAGAAATAGCCTCCTGCGTTTGCCAACACACTGTCTTTTCAGCTCTTTACAAGAAAAACTTGTGTGCAGCAACTGAGAAAAACACAATTTCCAGCAAATTGACACATCTTTGCTATAAAACAAATCAGCACTGGTAGGTTGTGCTGGATTCAGCCAGGAA